TTGAGAGCAATGTGGAAAAACTACCAAAGCAACATATTTTGTGCCTTCACTCACCCTGGCCACACACTCTTCCTATTAGAATTATGCAGCCACAAATAAGCAAAATATGGATGATTACTACTACATTATGTGAGTCACAGAAAAATGTTCTCCTTTCCCAATGACAGTTTCTTTATACTTTAGGAGAGAAAAATAGTGAATATATATATTTCATGGAACCTACTGATCATAGTGAAAAATATTATATAGGAAGAAGAAAAGACATCAAAGTTATCAACAGGAGTTAATGGGACCAAATGAATAAATTCAGGAGAAACTATACAAGTTAGCCAGTGCATGTGGAGTCAGAGAAAAACAGAGAGAGAACATAGGAAGAACTGTGAATGGTCTGCATTCTTTTAACTATTATATTCAAATGAAAGGAACCAGAAAATACTCAAAATTTGACCAAGTAGAGTAAAGTAGGTCAAAACTGCACTGTCCATATACCATCCCTTGGCACCCTGGCTACTGGAATCTCACTTTATGATAACAGCATCATAATGAGACAAATTACTTGCGAATAACTGTTTTTAAAATTGTAAGCAGACAAGAAATGGTTTCATTAGCTCCAGCTCAAGGGAGGTCCTTTTGAAGTTTGAGAAGGGGTTACATGGCAGACTAGAAATGAGATCGTAAACAAGGAAGATAAATTATACATAAAAAGATGAACATAAACCTGTAGGTTCAGGCAAACTTCTGAGAACTGCCCATCCTCATGCCTCACCTGCTGCCTCTTGACAGTTCAGTGGAAGCAATAAAAAATGTAGTTTTGTACCAATATTATCTCACTTTTTCTATTTATGAGCTCTACTACCTAGGCCAGGAAAATAAGAAGGCTGACTCTTCTGTTGCCCTAGGTAAGTGACCCTGGGTTCAGAAAAATGTAGGCAGCTTGGTAGATTTCTTTCCTTGCCTTACCATCACTCTGGAATGTTAGGCTCATCCACAGGGAAGTAGAACTAGAAATCACCATTTTATACCACATTTCTAACTTAGTAAAAGATTAATAGGTTGATATATAATTTCTAGCCTAAAGTAACTTCTAATGTAAACATAAGTCTACCCATTAACAAATTTCTATGTTACTGTAAAATTTCTCTCCTTTAATTTGACTTACATTTTCTTGAAAAAGTTCAGGATGCATGCCTCGAACAAAATGCAAAGCGAACATCAACTGATCAGCCTGCAAAGAATAACAGATATTATCTTGCCTTTTAAAAATTTGTGTCTTTGGAAAAGCATAGTCCTTAAAATCTGGCACACAAAAATCTCCATTCTGTCTTCATATGACCTACTTTTATCAATGTAAGAAATTACTATTCAGATTGCTTTCTACATCTTTGAAACACTTCAAGTCGGGGTGGGGTCAGAGTAAGTGATCAAATTTTTAGAGAAAGCACTAACAATTATGCAGTGGGCCCATGTCATTAAAAGATAAAACAAAACTAACTTTGCCAGGTGAAACATTAATATAATTGTGAAATTTAGATTAGTCATTATTCACCAAATCCACCCCATGCATTAGCAATCTTCAGTTTGTCACTGTGTAGGTTTAAACATATGGGTGACTATATGCAATTATGACAACTATTTTCTCTTTCCTGGATAGAATAATCTCCTAAATCAAACAGAAAACTGTAGTGAACTCTTCATTTTCCACACAAGAAGAAAAGTTATACCAAATAAGCGCAAACAACAAATAATTCCTTCAATGTGTTATCACTTAGAAAGTTAAAACATGAGTAACTAATTGAGGTTAGATAACACAGAAAAAACTATAAGATAACCCAATATTTCACAGAAACAAAAGCAGAACCAAAAACAGACTGTCAATAAACAGATATCAAAAAAGACACCAAATCACACAGAATGAGAGTTATGAAAGGAGAAGGTCATAGCTACTTTATCAGAAAACTAGAACACGGATTATGCTCAAAAATTTCTCACTAAAGGAAGGAGGAAAAAAAGAAGGGAGGATAGAAAAATAAGGTAGAAATTAAGATTCAGACTTTCAGGAGCAATCTAAAAGACAAAATGAAAGAAGGAAGAAACAAAGTCGAAGAATGTAGGAAGTGAACTAAATAACATGCCACATACATTCTACTAGGTGCTGCCAGTAGTCTTAGGAGGATCATACTCTGACTTCAACTCTTTGACATTAAATAATACATTTACAAAGAATTGAAAACTAATTATTTTTCCGTAAGTAAGAATTGGTCCAATTTCTAAGAACATATTAAATTAAATAAGAGCCACAAGTTTATATAGGGCATACAAAATTAAGTAAATAAAATTATGTCTTTATTAAAATATAGTAAAACATCTTTCTGGCAAAACAATACTGTGTCAGACATATAGTATGAAAATGGATAAGATATAATTGTTACATGATGTATCAAAAACAAGACTCTTAAATACAAGGTACCTATGCAAAATAAGATTTGATGTTTTAATATTTTAAATGTTGTGGAAATAAACCAACTTGTTTCCATTTACGGGAAGAGTGTTTTTAATCCACACAGTATGCTAACTCTACTCTCCATGAGACTGGGTAGGCTTTGTTCTCCACTGCAACCCTATTGCCTACAATAGGCAGGTGAATAACAAGTATTTCTTATAAGAACAGTCTCTTTACATGGGCATTAAGAACCCACACAGGGCCAAGCATGGTGGCTCATGCCTGTAATCCCAGCACTTTGGGAGGCCAAGGCAGGCGGATCACCTGAGGTCAGGAGTTTGAGACCAGCCTGGCCAATATGGTGAAACTCTGTCTCTACTAAAAATACAAAAATTAGCTGGGTGTGGTGGCATATGCCTGTAGTTCCTGCTACTCAGGAGGCCAATGCAGGAGAATCACTTCAACCCTGGAGGTGGAGGTTGCAGTGAGCCAAGATCTCGCCATTGCACACTCCAGCCTTGGCAACAAGAGTGAAAATCCGTGTCAAAAAAAGGAAAAAAAGAACCAACACAGGTCCAGAATCAAGAAACTGGATACAAATTCCATCCCTCCTATTTTACTAGCCAGGTGATCTTAGCCAGAAACAAATTACATCATCTCTCTTGACCTCAGTTTTCTGTCTCTGTAATGACGGGACAATAATATTAAATACTATCTACCTCACTATATTATTTTAATAATTAGATTAGATAATGTATCTGAAGCACTTAGCATGGTACCTAGCACACTCTAAAAGCCCAATAAATATTAGTTATCATTTTATTAGTACTAATAATAATGAATAAAATGGATCCTACATTTTATTCAATCATTATTAATCTTTTTGTCTATGGAACACAATTACCAACGTGCAGGAAATTAATATAGAAAATCAGCAATTGGTGTCTCAGTTCTAGCAAAATGGAAGATGAAAAACTAATTTTCAAAATTTCCAGCTACAAATACCTAAAATCTTGGATAAAATGTTCTCAAGCATCAGAAAAAAAAAGAGGGAATTGGAAACCACAGTGGCATTAAAAGCAGCTATGGTTGCCTTGGAGGAAAACAGTCATGGTAACCTAGGGCACAACCTACCTGAGCCAACACAAGAAGAAATATTAACAGTGAGATTGCTTTCTTTCTAAAACTTGGGCCCTTAAAGAATTACATTATCAGTAAAAATATGAACCAGGAAAAAAGTGCCCATGCTCACATGAAACAACAAATATACCTGGAATCTGGGCAAAAGAAGTGTCCTCTGAAAAAATTAAACAGCATACTTGTGCCGAGCACAGAGTTAAGGCACAAATTTTAACTATGGACTGAAAAGGAGTCCCTAAACAACAGAACTAATCGTGATGTCACTGGGTTACCTGGTAAGAGTTTAGGCAAGCTTGCTTTAGAGAACTACTCCCCTAATCCGGATCTCAAAGAACTCCAAAAGATAAAGTATCACTGAAGATGAGTTCATGGTCCAAAAGTATCAGCAGGAAAAAACAATCCACTGTAAGCAAGGGTCATTAGACACATCAGAAAAGAAGACTAAAATGTTAAGAATTTCAGATAATAGAACAATCTGAAAGAGACTCTAATACAAGTATCATTAAATACTCAAGAATGTAAGAAGGGACTAAACATCCCAGAAGTAGACAGCTCTTCTGAAAAAGGCAGATGAAGGAGGGGAAGAGAACTTTATAATCATTTAAATTAGACCTAGATGAAGAAAAATTTGTAAAATATAAGTAAAATGAAAGAAAAACCTAAGGAAGTTACCCACATTAAAATAAAATTGGAACTAAATTTTTAAAAAATTGAATACAAAAAGTCATACATGTTAAAATTTGAACACACACTTTGTATAACTATATGAGCACAAATAAATTTGTGAAGAATCAAACCAAATTTTTAACACCTGTTATATAAGATCTAAAAGGGGGTATCAAGTTGGGGAGAGACTGAAAAGGATACTTTTTTTTCTTTATTTATACGTATACATCATTTGGCTATTACAAAGAGCACGAATAACTTGTAATTTAAAAAATTAAGTGGCATACGTTAAAATAAGAATCTTAAGGCTAAGTACTTTATAAAATACCTGGTATAAATAAGGTTCAGAGATTTAAAACTCAAATAGATTGCTGTTGAGAATGAAATTGATGCTGTCTTTTTTGGAGGGCATTTTATGTGTTCCTTAACATTCTACATGTCCTTAAATTAAGAAATTTCACTTCTAGAAATTTAAGCAAAGGGATCACATATGTGCTCCTAATAAGAAATAAGGATAGGCTTTGAAAGATTGTTTATAACAGAGGGAAAACTTAAATAACAATGTCCAAAAGTCTATCATAAATAATAATCAAAATAAAATATATATAGCATAGTCCATTTTGTAGAAGGAGGAATATGTTTATAAAAACATACATATATGGATAAATATCTGCAAAAACACATTAAAACAGATACCAAAATTTAATCAGTGATTTAATTTTGAGATTGTAGTTCCTTTTTGTTTTCTTTATTCTTTTTTTTTACACGAAGGCAATTTATTAACAGAAAATATTTTGAGGAGTCTTGTTCACAGACGGCGACCACGGCGACCCCCCTTCCTGCGAGTGCTGTCAGAGGGGATGGGGGTGACGTCCTTTAACTGCCAAAAGCGACCAGACCAGCTGCTGCGCATCCACTGGGCACAGCATGTGCTTTTTGGGGCTGATGCTTCAAAACAGATCCAAGCATTAGCTAGAGGAGGGCACCTACCAATCCGCCCAATCTTCATACCCGAGCGGGCAAGGGCTCTGAGGGCCGACTGGGCCCCAGGTCCAGGGGTCTTGGTCCTATTTCCTCCTGTGGCCCGGAGTTTGATGTGTAGGGCGGTGATACCCAGCTCCTTGCACCTCTGGGCCACATCCTGGGCAGCCAACATAGCAGCATATGGCGAGGATTCATCTCGGTCTGCCTTCACCTTCATCCCACCAGTCACACGGCAGATGGTTTCTTTGGCAGAAAGGTCAGTGACATGGACAAAAGTGTCATTGAAGGATGCAAAGATATGGCAGACACCAAATACATTCTCTCCTTCAGCCACCTGAGGTCCGAGGCTGATGACCTGTTCTTCCTTCTTTTCCTTCCCCTTTCGAGGTGCCATTTCCTTACTTCGCAAGCTCCTCCCTGAAGCAAAACCGGCCTTCCGAGACCAGGCGCGAACTCAATCCCGAGTTGGCCAGGATCCAAGTGGGCCGGCCGCGTGTCTCTTGCCCGGCACCTAGCTCAGTTCCCACGGAAAGACCCCAGTCTTTCGTTCCAAGCCCCACAGGGTCCCCTTGCTGCAGGATGCCCACCGATTGTCGCGCCCGGGCCTGTTTTCTTTATTCTTATGTGTATTTTGCAAATTTCCTAAAATAAGCTTGTATCATTTGCATTTAAAAAAAAAAAAACAGTAAATGTTTATTAACAAAAAGACGTCTATTAAGCACAAATCTTCCTACCAAGTTTTAACAGATAATTTGTATAGCTTTTCCCATACTGTAAATAATACTTTACATCTAGTATATGTATGTGTAATTATAAACCAACAGATTAGGATAAATATGAGATTAAGTCACCATTTATACAAAACATACATACAACGAAAAGACCTTCCTGTAAATACTACTAGCAAGTGATTTCCTTGCCTACAAGAAAATCACACCTACATAAGTAAAATTTATTTTATAAAAGTATATATTGGGGACGTGCACGTGCGTGTGCGTGTGCGTGTGTGTGTGTGTAGTACTCAATAACTATTTCTTGATTAAGAATTAATCAAATTAACAAAATTAAGAATTCTTGGCCGGGCGCGGTGGCTCAAGCCTGTAATCCCAGCACTTTGGGAGGCCGAGGCGGGTGGATCACGAGGTCAGGAGATCGAGACTATCCTGGCTAACATGGTGAAACCCCGTCTCTACTAAAAATACAAAAAATTAGCCGGGCGTGGTGGCGGGCGCCTGTAGTCTCAGCTACTTGGGAGGCTGACGCGGGAGAATGGCGTGAACCCGGGAGGCGGAGCTTGCAGTGAGCCGAGATCAGGCCACTGCACTCCAGCCTGGGAGCACAGCGAGACTCCGTCTCAAAAAAAAAAAAAAAAAAAGAATCAAATTCTTAATTTTGAATTAACAAAAAACAAACATGTGAGCATGTAAAAAATTGTTCTACATCATATGTCATCAGAAAAAGGCAAATTAAAATAAGTCACTACTATACACCTATGAGAAAGGCCAAAATCCAAAACACTGACAGCACCAAATAATGGTAAGGATGTTGAGCCACAGAAACCCTCATTAATTGCTGGCAGGAATGCAAAAGGGTACAGCCACTTTGGAAGGTAGGTTAGCAGTTTCTTACAAAACAAAACATATTCTTATCATATGATCCAGCAATTGCCTTCCTCGGTATTTACCTAAATGTGTTGAAATGTTATGTCTACACAAAAACCTGCATATGAATGTTTACAGCTGCTTTAATCGTAATTGTCAAAACTTGGAAGCAACCAAGATTTCCTTCAGTAGGTGCCGAATGGATACACTGTGGTCCTCCAGATAATGGAATTGTATTGTATTCAACATTAAAAAGAAATGAGATACTATGCCATGAAAAAAACATGAAAGAACCTTAAATGCACAATAGTAAGTGAAAGAACACAATCTACAAAGGCTACATACTGACATCCTGTATGATTCCAATTATACGACAAATATAATTAGAATATAATTTGGAACAGGCAAAACTATGGACAGTAAAAGCATCAGTGTTTGCCAGGGGTTAAGTGAGCGGGAATGAAAAGGCAGAGAATATTTTAAGAGCAGTGAAACTACTCTGTAAGATACTAGAATGGTGAACACGTGCCATTTACATTTCTCAAAATCCATGTAAAGTACAATACCAAGAGTGGGCCTTAAGGTAAACGATGAACTTCAGGTGATTAGGATGTGTCAATGTAGGTTCAACAGCTTTAACAAGTGTACCACTCTGGTGCAGGATTTTGATAGTGAAGGAGGCTGTATAGTATGTGGGGGCATGAAATATATGGGAAATCTCTATACTTTCTGCTTAATTTTGCCATGAACCCAAAACTGCTCTAAAACATAAAGCCTACTTTTTAAAAAATGCATTCACAACTATAACATAACCAATGAATATTACATAGATAAGTTTTATTTTATTTATTTATTTTTGAGATGGAGTCTCTCACTGTCGCCCACGCTGGAGTGCAGTGGCGCAATCTCAGCTCACTGCAACCTCCACCTCCCAGGTTCAAGTGATTCTCCTACCTCAGCCTCCTGAGCAGTTGGGTTTATAGGTGCCCACCACCACACCTGGCTAATTTTTGTATTGTTAGTAGAGATGGGGTTTTGTCATGTTGGCCAGGTTGGTCTCCAACTCCTGACCTCAGGTCATCTGCCCACCTCAGCCTCCCAAAGTGCTGGGATTACAGGCATGAGCCACCACGCCCAGCCTACATAAATAAATTTTAAAACCCTCGAAACATAACAGATCTAAGCAATTGGCCATTGTTCAAGTGTGGCTGAAAAACCCCCCAAAACAGTTACAGCCAACTAATACGTATATGAAACAACTACCATGAGAATTAAAACACTAGAAAAAGCAAGGCATGTCTTTTGGGGAGATGTGTAGTGTAGTATTCTTAGGTATTAGGTTAAAATTCAGATTTGTAGTTAAATAATGATGAGGTGGAGAAGCTACTAAGATGAACATTTTATAAATTAATGGATCTTTAAAATGATTATAATAACATATATAGTTTAAGGTAAAGAAATACATAATGATAAAGACAAATAAGACAGTAAATTGTATTAATTCAAAACCTTTATCAGTTAATGATGTAGTTCAATACTTATAATTTAATGATATAGCAAATTCTTTTCATTTGTTTTGATGTTTGCTTTTACAGACACGGTCTCATTCTGTTGCCCAGGCTGGAGTGCAGTAGTGTGATCATAGCTCACTACAGCCTCAAACTCCTGGACTCCAGTGATCCTTCCACCTTGATCCACCTTGACAATGCAAAGTGCTGGGATTACATGTATGAGTCACCATGCCTGGCCTAGTTAATTCTTTATGACATATATATATGTGTGTGTTTTTATATATATGTCATATATATACACACACATATATACACAAATGTACACACGGTACTACCACATTTATTTTAGTCATTTCTTCACTTGTACTGAGGAAGAACAATGTAGTCTCTAGGTTTCAGGAACAGAAGTAAAGCCCCTGTCATTCTATGATCCTCAGATTACCCACTGGAGTCAGTAAACTAATGGCTAATTATTACTGAGCCCAACACTCCAAAATGTTGTTAAAAAATAGGCACATAATATGTGGACAATAAGTGGGTAATGGTGGTTACCTTTCTCCCGTTATCTGGTTACAGAAGATATCCTGACCTTAAGGATGAGCATGTAATTACGGTGTCAGTCAATCACATTGTATTACTCCATAGACATTGATACAAGGGTTGCCACCTGACCTAAAACAGGTCAACGAGGATCTTCTTCCTTAATTTTCTAAGCTGGAAATGGCAAAGAAAGCTCTTTTTGCCCTCTATCAGGTTGCCTACCTGTACCAACAAATTCCTTCAGTCATAAGTATTTAACAATAACATCATAAAGGAGAACAATAATGATTCAAGAATAAAACTAAAAACAATTTACAGAAAAAGAGAAAAAGAACATGAGCACAAGTGCATGGCTACATTATTTCCAGTTAAACAGAATTAAAATTAAGAATGAATAAATTAAGGGACTGGGTGCCATGGCTTATGCCTGTCATCCCAGCATCCTGGGAGGCAGAGGCGGGCAGATGACTTGAGCTCACGGGTTCGAGACCAGCCTGGGAAAAATGGTGAAATCCCATCTCTACAAAAAGTACAAAAATTAGCTGTGCATGGTGGTGTGCACCTGTTGTCCCAGTATTTGGGAGGCTGAGGTGGGAGGATGGCTTGAGCTCAGAGGCAGAGGTTGCAGTGAGCTGAGCTTGTACTACTGCACTCCAGCCTGGGCAATAGAGCAAGACTCTGAAAGTCTGAAGGGAAGGGAAGGGAAGGGAAGGGAAGGGTAGGGAAGGGAAGGAAAATGAATAAATTAAGTTTAAGGCTTTCTGAATAGTTATTTTAAAAAAAAAAACTGTCAAAATCAAAAATTGAGCAAATATTTTGGTATCTTTAAAATCCTTCATCTATTTTTGCTTTATCAGATCAAGAAATCTGGTCACTTTAATTCAATGACAATTTATTTCAATATACTTGAGTTTTGTTAAAAAATATTTTAATATCAAGGGGATATATAACAAGCAAAATCTCAAGTGAATAACTCTCTAAATGAATAACTAGCTAATGAAGAAAAATTAATAAGTGAGAGTAGGCCACTACATGGTATAAGTCAACCATACCTCCCATACCATTAAATCCCATACACTCTAGTAAATAATCAGAGTGAAACTACTAGATCAGGATTAATATGACATTAGGACATCTTAAAGTGAACCTTAGTTGAGATCAAGTTCACATTTCCAGGGATAGTGGTTTGTTTCAACTGTATCTTATCAGCAAGAAATCTTCAGCATCAAGCAGGATGCACTAGAATTTCAACCCCAGTATCCTCTAGATCTAAGCTAAAGATTATTAGCTGTAAATCTTAGTTTCTTCTTCTGTATAACAGAATTGTTGTAAGCATTAAATGGCAGTATATGTAAGGCACTTAATAAAAGGTGATCAGTAAAATAACTATCTGATATACAGTAAACTGATATACTATATAATAGTCATATCAAATTTACTTCCAAAACATTCCATAAACCCATGATCCTCAAAGAGACTAAGAAGCAGTAAAAAAATCTAAGTAATTCATTCCTTTTACTTCTCCTCTATTATATTTATTGCTTTCAAATATGTTCAATGAAAAGTATAAAAGAAATGTTACCTTGTGAAGAGAAGTCATGCTTTAAGCTCAAAGCAGTTTATATAACATTGAACTTGGGCACTCACATATTGCTTGAGACTAAATCACCCATTTTAATGAATAATTTTATGCACATTCAACTGTATTTTCAGAAAAGTCAAAGGATTAGATACAATTCTAGAAGTTTCAAAGTTATTTAAGCAGAAGAAAACTGTATC